CGATAAGCTAGCTCTAACCAACTGCAGCTTTGGCCTCTTTTGGGGACAACCACTTGTACTTGTAATCAAGGTGTGGAATTGATAGTCACACGATAGCATTGTGCATAGATGATCGGGGCGGTTGGTTATAGATTGATTGATAATATGTGTCAGAAAGTTGGATCAGACCTAGACCTAGATGATGTTACGATCAATTTGTCCCATAGGGTGCTAATACGAGGTATTCTACATTTATAACATAGGATGTATACATGTTTAGGTTCTCTCCCACTAACAATTAATTTTTAAGAGTGAGTTCTCCTAATGCATATATAAGATGATTAAGTCAATATATATATATATATATATATATAGGGAGTGGGTATCTACTTGAAGCTGAGGGTTGAGGTCATGCCACATTTACCAAAAATATATATATATATATATATATACACACATATACATTCAAATCAGACAGTTCTTAAACCAGGATTTAAAAATAAAGAAAAAGAAAAAGTTTCATTTGTTAGAGAATATTAACCTATTCAAGAACTTCACCTAACATAAGCTTTTAAGTTGAATGGTTCTTTAATATGGTATCAGAGTTATTTTGACCAAATAATCTAGTGTTGGATTCTCATTTTCCCTATTATAATTAATTCAGTTTCAACATAAGGTATAAATGAGTCTGTGCTTATTCACACTTCAAGCCCAATGGATCCACTGTGAGTGAGCATTTTCGTTTGGCCATTTCTTAAGGTCATGTCACTTTTTTAGATTTGAAGCTGGCCCGCTAGTCGATCCGGAGTGGATAAGACCATCAATTTATTGAAGCCCTTGTGTGAGGTAGAGGATTTGAAGCATTGGTTGGTGTTCTCTGTGACAAACAAACAATCGGTGGGGCTATCAATCGTTTTGGGGGATCAACAGGACCACATATTGTTCTTCATCATAGAAAATGGGTTCTGACTTCTGGCTGTAACCATTTCAAAGCTTTAGTGTAGAGAGACATACCATGTCACGTTTGCTACGCAATGGCCATTCAAATCTAATCCTCCTTATGTTGCTGTTGCTGCTTTTTTTATCCCTTAACAAAAAAATAGGAGTATAAGTTGGTTTGGTTCAAGTTAACAGTTTATACTGTTTCAGGTTCGGGCTTTGAGTTGGGTCCATTGAAATTTTAACAAAATTCCAACCCAAACCCGAAAAAGTTGCATCTCAACAAAAAAACATTTGGATGTGATAAAAGTTTACGGGTCACTACTCTTACGCCACGACTACTCGCCATCGGTGAGATGTTTGCAGAGAGCGCCAATCGCGATACAAATTGACAAAAAGTAGTTTTGCTTTTCTTTACGTTGTTGCAAAAAACAAGTTGCCCCAATCCAATGCAACGAATGGCTAAAGTTTATCGGATAAATAGTCGTCAACTTATTAGTGGGTATATATAGGGCTTTGGCCTTTTGGGTTGGGGTTCCTCTTGTTTTTGTTCTTTTCTGTCTGTGTGTAGCCCTCAACATAATAACCACGATGGTCCCAATCCCCTCACACACAGACCATAAATCAATCCAAAATTTACCAGACTCATCTACCACATCTTCTACCTAACCCCAATACCAGGTAAGTTCTACTAAATTAACCCCAATTATCAATGCAAATCAAATGTGGTGTTAATGAATAAAGATCTGCCATAAATAAAACTCGAATACTTAAATTCATGCTAATGAAAGATTAATGAAGTAGGTTTTATACAGTGGATAGAGATCTGTTACCAATAAAATGCTATCAATTCTGTCCCAACAGGCCACTGCAGCCTCACATTGAGAACATCTCTCTGGGATATGTAGGGAAAGGAATTTTTGGGCAATCCTAGGGTTTACTTAAACCTTTCTTCTCTTTGTATATTTCTTTTTTTTTATTCATTCATCTCTTTGTTCTCTCTCCTAATATTTATTTATTGTAGTGCAAATGCTAGTAGTGGTAATAATGGATGTATGGTAGTTTGATTAGGTGTCATGTTTGGTTTGTATTTTCTTTTGTATATATATTTAAGAAAGGGCTCATTTCCTGGCTCAGAAAGAATAAACTTTAACACTCTCAACTCCCAAGTGATATGGATTAATTCTTCACCTCCCTGGCGGTTAGAAACTTCATGTGAAGACTGTAATAGTTTTCTGATCTTTAAGGCTATGTTTGGAATTTTGGATGTTTGGTTTGAAGGAAAAGGTAGAGAAAGGAATTAATTAGTTATTTTAGCCATAAAACAACTAATGAACGACGGTAATTTCTTTCGTGCATTGTTATAATTCATTTTTTTGGTAAGAAAAATAAGAGGATGTTGCCTGGTGTCATTTTGTCGTACTGCCGGTCCGAATTGAAGCCTAGACTAGATGGAAGAGGATTAAGTTCAAGACTTCAACTATCGGTTTGGACCCGTGAAGAAATTTTTGTGTAACATCCCTTTTCATAATTCGTTTTTCTTTCATTTTTCTGGATGGAACTCTTTTCATGATTTCTTTTTTTACGCAAATGAACCTAAATTTGTTTAGACTGCCGTTCTCAAATGATAAGATGGAGGGTTCCATTTACTATAGACCCAATGCATCCAAGGATGAAGTCAAAATTTGTATTGATGTCCTAATCTTTATTCTTTTGGCTGTGTTTGGAATTGGTGTAAATTAACAACGATATCAATATTTACATCGGTTCCGTTTTGTTTGTATTTGAAAAGAATATGTAATAATGATCGAAGTAAAATTTCACTTTGATTTATTTTTGCGTGCACTTGAATTGAGTGGAGTTTTACATTGTGAATCAATATAAGACCTCATCATATGTAAAGTTTTACATCGATTTTACACCGATTGCATCACGTTTTTCAAAAATACAATGGTCACTTATAACGGTTTAGTGTAAAACATCATCGGTGTACTTTACACCAATTGATGACGTTTTACACTGATTCTAAACGCGACCTTAAGCTCAATTTAATTCAGTTTGGAAAGAATAAAAATATAAATATGCATATGTATAGTATAAAATAATATAAAATATAAGGTTTCACATTCTATATTTTGTATTTATACTCCTTACAAACTGAGTTTTATGGAGAGATATTATGAGTAAGGTTTTAAAAATCGGATCGGACATGGAACCATTTTGGGGACTGGTTCTTGGGTCAAATAGTCCAACCTGATTTGAATGGATGATCCATTCTGATTTAAAAAATAAATAATTAAAATAAAAAATCGAAAACATTGTTCGGGTCCATGGTTCGACTACCTGGGTCAGTGGGTCACTGATCAAATAAATGGTTTTTGGCCTAGGAGCGATTTTAGGGTGAAATGAAACCGGTTCTCAGTTTAACCGATTCGATCGTCTAATCCTGTCCAGTTTTCAAAACCATAGCTATTTTCAAAGGTTGTGGAGCCAATAATTATACTCCATACCAATCATAAAATATATTGAAATTCACAACTGTTCAACCTCTCAATATGGGATCCATGTATTTTATCAATGGTGTGGGGGTGTTATCAATGATTTCATAGTCTCTTAGGCTGCTATAGGATATAGCTAATTCGAATATTGGGTGGTTGTTATAGCATATGTTTTGTTACATAGATGTTTCATGATAGGCATTTATTAAAATGCTGTCATGTTATTGCCAAATCAATATTTTTTTTTTCATCATCTTTATCAATATGTGGTGATATTTACAAAAGTGAGTTTTGATTTATTCACTCAACCACTGATGTGATATTTATTTGTCAATAAATGATTTATCAAAATACTTTTCATGGTTCTTGGTTCCGAATATAAATCAAATATAAACATTTATTTAATAAAAAAAAAGCTATACCAAACAAATAGGTAGTTTAGGCTAGGTTTTTGTCAGGTTGCAGCCCAGCCCAATCTGGTCCAACCCAATCCGGTCCAACCCAATCCGAGAGTAATTCCAAACCCAATATATTATGGATATTAGGCGAAGACCGTGCAGAGTAGATATGTACTGTTTTTGTGGGATGTGTCAAGAGTCTCTTTTGGCTCGAACAATGCGGAATTGCGGATTAGGCGGTGTAATCACAACACGGAGACAAGAGATAGCAGAATAGTGTGTCGTACCAAAATCCACGTCGCCATAGTAAAATGACGACCCAACTATGTAGACTTGGATTGAGGCGTGGCAACAACAAATTAAAATGAATAGAAAAAAGCCCAACCCACAAGAAAACAAAGTGGAGAGTGGAGACAGACAGAAGCACCCATTGAAATACTCAATGACGACCTCAGAAGAGTTTTGAGCAAGCAAAACAGTAAAAGCAAAGAAACACATGCCTAAATATATAATAATGATAAAATGCATACATGAAAAGGAGAAGCCGAGGAAAGTGAAAGAAAAGGGAGTTCACTAACATCACCACACCACACACGGGAAGAAGAAAGAAAAGCTGGGTGAAGTCCAGACTCCAGAGTAAAGTCTCAAGGTTTGTGTTGGTGGGGGCCCACGTCAAGGCGATTAAAGAAAAAGACCCACACCACCACCAAAGCCCATAGGCATTAGGCAGACAACCAAATCTTTCTCAAGGTAGAAACAGAATATGCGAAGCCGACGGTGGACACACTCTCTTCTTCTCCACCACCCCTTTATTCGCTTATTATTCATTCATCCATTTATTTATTTATTATATTTATTTTAATTGCTATCCATTAATAAGGAGAAATTTTTTCATCCTTCTGAATACTACCACTCAACCAATTTATAGTTTTTATAAATTATATACACGGTTGTCAAATAGTTAATTACATATGAGGTCATCCGAACTGATTTTTTTTTTTAATTTTATAACCATTCGATCTATTTCCAATCTCATCGTGTCGTATTCGAAGTGTTCTATTTGAACGGTCCCGATTCTTACAGAGGAAAAGTATTTCGTGTACAATAGCATTATAGCCGGTATTTCGTGGTATCATCAGCATCTGAGTTTCCTTTTAAAATCCTAAATTACAAGTTAACTAGGCGATCATCAAATGGTAAACCCCTTATAAGATATATCTAAATCACTACACCACCACTCGCTCGCCCTTCTCAATTTCCAAAGCACACATCCGCTTCTTTCTCTCTCTCTTCCGCTGTGTGGGCTGAGACTTTGTTGTACGGACTGATAGATTCTTCTTCGCTTTCTGAGAAGAAAAAGAAGGGAACAACAAGAAGAACATTGGAGAAAGGAAGAGAGAAGCAGAAATCTTGAACCGAACCGTCGTCACCCGTCAACCAAGATGTCGCGCAGCTGCTCGCAGTGCGGCAACAACGGCCACAACTCCCGTACTTGTGCAGAGGCTGGCTCCGGTGCCGCCTCGGAATCTGGTGGATTTATGCTGTTTGGTGTTCGTGTAACCGAGGGCTCGATCCGTAAGAGCGTCAGCATGAACAATCTGTCGCAGTACGAGCAACCTCAAGAGCCCAACGCCGACGTTAATGACGGATACGCCTCCGACGATGTCTGCCATGCCTCTGCTGGGAACCGCGAGCGCAAAAGAGGTGCTTTTTCAGATCTCTGATGATATCTTGTACTATTTCTTTCTCTAACTTATACTAGTTTAAGGATTTTAAATACAAGAATGGATTTTCCTCGATCATATTAGGAGTTCCATGGACCGAAGAAGAACACAGGCTTTTCCTAGTAGGCCTGCAGAAGGTAGGAAAGGGAGATTGGAGAGGTATTTCTAGAAACTTCGTCAAGACTCGTACGCCTACTCAGGTAGCTAGTCATGCTCAGAAATATTTCCTCCGTCGAAACAACCTTAACCGGAGGAGGCGCCGATCCAGTCTCTTCGACATCACCACCGATACGGTACTTCAGTCAATTTGTTTATTCATTTCCTCAAATATGTTACGTCATTTTTTTTTTTATTTCCCACGGATGTTTTGTTTTATTGATTTGCTTCTTTTTCTTTTATTTTTCTATATGATAGTTTATGGGATTGCCAATGGAAGAAGAAACTGTTTACCAGGAGACCACAACTCAGTCACCGGCACCGGTGAACTGTAACATACGTTTTCCGGTACCGGCCTTCCCTGTGACGCTTAGTCCCGTGGTACTGCCCGGCGGTGGCGAGAATCCCATAGAGAATCTGACGCTGGGAAAAAGTGAACAAACGAATGCGCCAACAAAAGTTGTCCGCCCGATACCTATACTACCCATACCGCCAGCATCGAGAATGGCTGATCTTAATCTGAACCAGAAATCCTCTGCGGATCCATCGCCGTTGTCGCTTAAACTGTCTACTCCGTCATCAGATCAACAAGCGTCACCGAGACATTCTGCTTTTCAGGCCATGCCGAGCTTTGGCTCAGGGGATCTCGATTCCAACGGTGGAAGCATTATTACCGTTGCCTGACAATAAACTTTCTATATATCTTTTTAGGCAAAACAAGAGTAGTTAGGGTTAGATTTAGATTAGATTAAATTGGATTAAGCGAGACAAAGTGATTTGGTGATTCCTTGTTTGTACAGAGTAGACACAGTCGATAAAGGAGATGCGTTGTTGTTTTGGTGGTGGACTGTAAGGGATGTAATCTTGTTTATCTCTCTCATCTTGTTTGCCTGCGGTTTGTTTGGTGGTCTCAACTCTCAAGGGATTTACATGGCAAAAAAAAAAAAAAATTATATCGACTATCATTATAGACATTTTCTGCTTAACAAAAATAATTCTGGATGCTGCTGTTTTTACTGGAATCCCTCTCTCTCTCTCTCATGGTTTTCACTTTTCAGTTTTCACCATTCACACAAGTCCATGTATCTATAATCGGTTGCCCGGCCTCTTCTATGAGAAAGATAAAGATGAAAGATTCTAATTCTTAGCCTTTTTCCTTTTCCAAACAATGGAATAATTTAAACATAATTATTCTCAACATATTTTGATCTGCATTGTACTGGCTTCACAGACACGTAAACGGTACAGATTGCTCCATTCTACTCTATCTGTTCAACTTTAATTCTTTTAAGTACAAACTGTGAACGGTACTTCTGGATCTCTAAAATCTAGCCATGGATTCACAATCAAGAAGGAGAAGACAACCCAATTTTCTCAAGGTCTTTTTTTTCTTTGGTTCAAGCTAAGATACTTATGAAGTAACTATCACGGGCTCACGGCTATGACGGGGCGGAAGGAAAAACCAAAAACTCAAAAAGAATAAACTATATCGTTCTCGATCGGATGGACGAAAGGCCACAGAAAGATGCTAAGTTTCTTTCTGGTGGTGGGGAGAATCTTCTTTATTTGGAATGGACTATTTTAGTGGGTTTTCCGTTGAACGAAATAAAACGTTAAAACTCCATTTCTCGACTTCTTTTTTTTTTATTTTCTTTTCTTGATAGGTTATTTCTTGACTTCTATTTGGGTGTGCGTTTCTGACTTTCTGGATCAGTTACTAAACAAAGCGCTAGTTGTTGGAGAGGTCATTTTTGTATTTGTTTTCCCTTATTTTTGGTTGTTTAGTTTATTTGCTTTTTACATATATTAGCATAAGCATCTGAAGAAATTGCTCTGACTCCTTGTTATATATTAAAAACGTGATATCAGTCTTCATACTTAAGCAAAACCGGTGGCTTAGGCTAAGTTGGTTCCTCTATACTTTCCTTGTTTAAATAGGAATGACTAATGGAGAATGAAGAGCGGTAATATTGCTGGGTTGCTGAACCCAATTTGTTTCAACGTAACTCACTTGGTTGATCACCTAAATGCGTTTGACTAAACTTGTAATTGGAAGAAGCTTTCAAAAAACTCATAAAAAGATAGCGTCCAATAAAAGTTGTTTTTATTTAAAAAAAAAAAAAAGACAGTAGGGTGTTGGGCTTTTTTACTTTTTGAAATAAAAATAATTCATAAAATCCAATTGAGTTACTATTTTGATTAGAAGAAAGAAATCGGAGCCCACATCTGTTACAACTTACAACTATGGTCGTGGCAGATTCGGAGCATGAAATCCTTAATTGCTTATAAACTTATATAAGCAAAAAGTAGGAGTTGATTTCATCATGTAACAGATCCCATGCAGTTGGGATAAGGCTTAGATGATGGTATGAAGAGGCAATTAACTAATTTTAGTAGAAGTAAAAGCCCTCCAAACCGATCCCAAAAATGTTTTTGTTTTATATAATGGATGGGATACGAGTAAACAATGTGTCAATGAATTCAGAAACATTTTTTTTCACAAGTAAACAAGGAGTAAAAATAAAAGGAAAAATCTATGATGCAGAAAAGGTATGGTATGGGAAGAGTTTTGAGTAATCAAAATCCACCCATGAATTTTGATAAATAACAGTTGATTGGCTATCAGGTTTATGATTCCAGTTGATTAGTCAGATGTTTTTCAGATATGATAACTTTTCCATATCATAGTTGAACCCAAAATAAAAAGAATTATTAATAATTAAAACCCCATCAGCCCAGGGTCAGAATTTTTAGGGCTAAAGTACAGTTGGGGTGGGTGCTGGCTCGAAATTGATATTAATTTACGGGCAGGAATTGGTGTATAGAGTGGGAACTTTTGACATTTTGAATATTTATAACTCTGTAGTAGAAATCAGAAATCTGCATTGGGTCTATCCGTACTTTTTCACAAATTCTTCTAGTTAAATTTCACTTTGTTGTAACTTTCTTTCTTTTTGCACGTAGATTTCTTCCTAGTTACAAAGTTAATGCTATAAATTTTTCTTTTGTAAAAGATAAATGTTAAGGGGCCGGGTGTTTGATGATGTGAATGATTTTTGGATGATGGGGCAAAAGTGACACACCATTCATCTGTTGCCACGTGGATGTTTATAACCACCTCGGACCACCTTGGGACCTAAGGTGGCATCACCTTAGAAAGCGTTCATAAGCAGGTACATGAGGGGTGGCAATTTTTCACCCAACGCGCTCATTTACTTAGCGGGTTAGAAATGGGTTGATCACCCATTGGGTCAATTTAAATGGATTGGGTTGGGTTGGGTTGTGGATAACCATTGGGTTAACCACTACAGGTATAAGTATTAATTCCTTAGCCTTTTTTTTATTTTCTTCATTTGAATGAAATAATTTATAATTAATGCATTAATTTTCTATTAAATATTGACTAAAATTAGTTTTGTCTCGAATCAATACACTTCACCCAAATCGATATAAATCCAAATCAATTTGACCAGAGTCTGGACCAGCTCAACTTGGTCTAAATATGAACAGACCCGATCACCTCAGTTCAGTTCGTTTGGGTGATCCGAATCCGAAATGAGTCCGGTGTTGATGGATTGACCTGCCCCAAAATCCGCCTGATTGCTTTGTTTGGTTTGGATCATCCAGTCCAGCCCGGATCCACACAACCCGACTCGAATCCGAACTGGTCCGATTTACTTCTCTTGACCCACTTTGTGCCAATCGGTCTGGTCCCAGACCTGTAAACAAACCTGATATGGGCCGGTCCAAGTCAATCTGCCATTGACTGAACCGGTCTGATCTGGTCCGACTAGATTGATCTAGATCTAAACAGTTCAACCACCATTGATGTGATTAGCTTGAAGACAGTCCAATTAGATAGTTCAAGTTGGTATAACCGGTTTGAACTTAAGTGGTTCGGTCAAACCCGAAATCTAAATATAATCAAATGGCTTTGCCCTTGTGTAAAAATAGCATGCATGTAATATGATTTGAACCTTCACCACTTGTGTAAATAGCAACTACTATTACCACTAAGCTATGACTAACTTTTTTGTCAAGAGAGAGTTACTCTTTTGTTTTAAGTACATAAATATAAGATTAATAGGTTTGGGTGAGCTAGATTAGGTTAAAGCAGGTTTGGGTTGAACCCAACCCATTTAATTTTATATAACTGGGTCATTAATGGGTTGGCAAGTTAGATGGATTGGGTTGAAGCTCAACAAAAACCCAACCCAACCCGCCCGATTGCCAACGCTATTCATGCCACACCTGAGTACCCGAGCTCAATTGAAGACAGCTCGGAGAAGACCAACCTGCAATGTCAGTCATCACCTTAGAGCATTTATGCGGCCCAGGCATCTAGCCTCATGACGACCAACCGGCATTGTCCACCCGGCTTGTACCTTTCAGGCTATTTAATGCCTATGAGATATTCGGGGGGCACGATGTCCATGTAGTGGCAATTACATAAGTCTCCCTCGTTTCTTGGGGAAATGGCGAGTGGTCGAGTTGGTGACAGTTCTCGAGTGTTCCCTAAAGTCTCGGTGGTTGAGTCCCATTACCTCCGAACATGTAGGGGACATTTTGGTCATTCCCCCGAAGCTTATATAAAGGCAGTTCCTCGCCCTCAAACGGTATGCTCTCTATTGTCACTTTTGCTCTCATTCTACTCTCCCTGCTCCCCTAGCTTGGCACTAACTTGACCATCGGAACTTCGTCGCCTGGGTCAAGAACCCGGCCGGACACACTAACGTCGTTTCCTTGGCAGGTATAACTCGCGTGACCTTGCCTAATTCACTACTATTGTAGCAGGGAGCGGAGCAGATTGAGCGGCATCAATTTTATTTTCTAAAACAAAATCACCTGCTATGTTAGTAAAAACACCGCATTTTTTTTTTTTTAACTAGTGGATGAGAATGAGAGTTGAAACCTTTTATTCTCCCGTTATGGGACGTGCTTTTATATAATTTTTTTTCAGAACTGAAAAAGAAAACAGTAGAAAATTATAATTGCAACCAAAGTGTTTGTATCACTAAGGAGGGTGCTAAAATTAACAACGAATCCGGATCTAGTCCTTACACCGACCTCATAGTCACATCCCATCATGTATCGGAACATCTTTTGTATTTTTTAAAATCGGCTTCATTGCTTGTGCTTATAAGATAGTACTCACACGGTATAGTCTTTGTATATCTTATCATAAAGAAGCATATAAATATGAAGATATTTTCAATGTATGGCCATAAAATACTGTGTGAACAGTTGTAAGCAATGAAGAAGCCGATCGCCAAAAAAACGTTTTTTCTGTAGTACGCTTTATTTTTGTGTTATTATTCAGGGGAGCACAATGGGATGTGCCTGTGAAATCAATATGTGAGGAGCAGATCGCAATTCTGAAATAAGACCGTGACCCCGGTAGATTCTTTCAACTTTTGATTTATAAAAAGAATATCCATGGAGTACATAAAATCAGGACAACCATCCCGCAACAATAAAAGTTCTCTTTAATGTTCTATTTTTCAACCATAGTAGTGGAAAGGCATGATACCCAATAACCAATCAACCAGTATCATAAGGGTATTAAGCAATCACTTAAATTCACATGGAGTCCTTCCGATTGGTCAAAGTTTTTTTCTGGTAGCATACCCTTTATGGCGTCATAGATATTGTCATCTAACCAATCGTGGCCTTTATAAAAAGAAAAAATTTAGTTGGTTTTACCGCTATGTTATGGGTGAGCAAAAGCAACCGAAAAACTTAACCGACTAAAACTGAACCGAAAAATCGATTAATCGAACTGGTCGGTTTGGTGTTTTTAAAAACCAGCAGTTTCGGTTAACTATTTAAAAAATCAGCGTTTAAAACCAACCGATATATATATATATATATATATATTGAAAATCAAATAAAAAAGTTCAGTAATCTTAAGACTTTCAGCCTTTTTCTTCAAAAGTCGAACATTTCAATTGAAAATTAAAACATATTATATTTTATTTCAATTGAAAACCGAACACTGCATCACTCACTCACTGCCAATCTC